CCAGAACTGTAACAAGAGATTATCTTCTGAGGCAACCCTCTTGGGACCCCTCCTGCCTCTCAGGAGCTATCCATGGTCACCATTCCTTTTTTCCAATAAATTTTTCTACTTTTAACGTCTGTTGTTCTTTAGAACTCATTTTTTTTTTTTTTAGGTCAGGCCGAGGTCCTCTCTCTCCTGATGGAAGGAGAAGAGCGGAGCAAGTATCGCAGGGCTTCTAGTAACACTAGGTTAGCATCCTGAGACGCAGGCTGGCTGGTGGCTAATGACCAGCATTGTCTTGGGCAAGCTGGTTTTCTTGGAATAGAACTCATTGTTTCACTTCGAGGAACACAAACTTAGCCTATGTGACACCTAGCACCCCCCTCTATCACAGTAGTTAAATAAAAATTGTAAAAGCCACCAGAAGAGAATGGCTTCTTCTGCTGAGGGTGGCCTCATGAAGAAGAAAAGATTCTCGTTGGGTGGCTGGACTCTAGGTGATTTTTGTTTTGTGCTCTATGTTCATTTGTATTCTGAAAATGCTCTAGAGGGTGCCAGCATTGATTATGCAGGACAGAAAGCACACAATTAAAAGAACAGGAATCAAAGCTGGAAGTAAAGCCAGGAGGCAAAGAACCCGAGCCAAGGGCACGGCCGACCCTGTCCCTGACCCTGGCTGGAAAACTGCAGTAGGGTTCCATGGCTCACGGATGGATGCTGAAACCCTCAAAGATTTTTGACTTAAAATCCCTGGGTGGCTTTCTGAGAGTCTATAAGATCTCTAAATCTCCACTCACGTTTACATTTGTGGGCGTCTCTCGTGTGTACAACGTTCTTAGGGGAGGACCTAGGCATTTGCGCTCGTCCCAAAGGGCTCCAGGCCCCTCGGATGCCCTTTACAAACTCTGACGTTGAAGCAGCAAGGAATGCTAGAGGAGCCCAGAAGAGCTTGCAGCCAAGTGTATCAGAATGAAGTGAGCACAGAGCTAGAGCCAGGGCAGCGGCCCTACAGCACGTGTGCTGCCGCGAGCAGTTGGGTAGCATCAAAAGCTCAGGAAGGTTCGCCACCACTGGGCTAGAGTGTGACGAAGTGTACACTGCAACACGCAGGGGCTCCTGAGTTCAACCAAAGAATGAGAGTGGGTACTTTCCCTGATTATCGGCATGGGGTCTGGGGCCAGCACACCAAGCATGGCCCCAAGGTAGGGCGGACCTCAGGCGGTCCTCATCAACAATAGCTCTCTGCTGATTTTGTACTTTCTCTCTGGGTCTTCCTGGACCATTCATCCTGGGATGGTATTCGAAGTACCAGAGGCACACCCAGGTCTGACTGGGGCTACCAGGGAGATCACAGATGTTCCACATGAGGTCACATCTGTAATGGAGGGAAAGCTTGGCAGAAGTGCCATTTTTCCTTCCTCTGACCAGAGGACCAGGGCAGGGATCATCAACACTCAGGGTCAAAAGAGGGGCATGACCTCAAGGAGCATGACCTCACGAGGGGACAGGAAGGTGGCTGTACAAGGACTCGCACTGGTCTGTGAAGTCGGGAGGGCCTCCTTGGGTCTCACCTGTGATGCGGAACCAGAAGAGGCCGGGCCTGCCCTCGACACTGACGACCCCCACCATGTGGTTCACAGGGTCGGTCTCCATGACAGTGAAGCTGTAGTGGGTCTCATCAAAGGCCAGTGGTATGGACGATGGCCGAGGCTGGGGGATCCACTCGATGTGTAGCCGGACGCTGGCCGAGAGCGGTGGCTGCCCACTGTCTGTTGCTTTGATCTGAAAAGAGCACAACAGCAGAACTGAGCCACCACTGAGCCAGTCTCCCATCCACTCATTCATCTACTTGACACCTATCCGAGACTTGCTGGGCAGGCAGCCTGCCGGGGGCAGCAGGCACAGTCGTGAACGAAATCAAACCTGGGCTTCAGAACCTCCTGCTCCGTGAAAAATAATGACAGAGACCACCAACTGAGGGTTTACTGGGCCCTAGCTCCCAAAATGGTCTTTTACATAATGGGGTGCAATTAAAAAACACAGTAAATACATACATGCATGCATACATACATACATATATTTATTTTTAACAGTAAAAGGCACGTGGCCATGAATCCCCTTAAGAACTTATCCCATCGTTCCAGCCACTTCCTGGAAGGGTGCTGGCAGTCTTTTGCGTCTTTGGGTGCGCTGCTGTGGCTGCCTCCCCGTCCTGGGTCAGCTCCAAGTGTTTACCTTCCGTGGACACTGAGACGTCAGGGAGGGGCCGGAGGCTGCCCTGCACAGCGGCGGAGCCAGCCAACACGGTGAGGGAGGGTGCGCCATGGTGTTTCGCGCGCCCGCCTTTCCGCAGGCTGGCCCGAGCAGTGGCACTCACTGTACCTGCGATCACGCCTGGTAAAGACGCTCTCAAAAGAGGCTTCCAGAACTGCTCCC